AGTTGGCAGGAAGGCTAAAGATTGAAATGGTGTTTCTAGTCGACCTTGTTCAAGGATTTGGGGTCATTTCACATTTTGGTAGTGTGTAGGGAAGATCTCCTAAAATGCTAAGATACTGTTGTTGTCTTTCTTTTCTTTAATGTAAAATACATGCTTGACACAGGAAAAACTTGGCACTCTGGGTTGGGGCAGCAGGCTGCTAGCGGAAAGAACAGCGGTTCAAGCCCACCAGCCACCCTGCAGGAGAAAGACCAGGCGGTCTGTTCTTGCAGATTTATGGCTTTGGAAGCCATAAGGGGCCGTTCAACCCTGTCCTATAGGGAGATGCCGTGCGCTGGAATCGACGCCACGGCAGAGAGTGAGGCACATCGAGATCGACTTAATTGCGTGGGTTTGGGGAACGCTTTATCAATTCACACTGGTGGTGATGGGGATTCCAAACTCCAGCACTTATCCCCCAGGCTGAGGGCCGCCTCACAGGGCAGGTTTCTCCCTGCGGGTCTTTGTCCACAGGGACCCTCTCACCTGGGTACCGATGACCTCTCCCTTCAGCGCCTCCTGGGCAAGCACCCCGTCCGTCGTCGCTTGTTTTCCATCCCTGCCTCTCTCGGGCTGGACGTAAGCTATGTCCATCCGCGAGGAAAAGGCCGTGATCCAGAATCTCGGGGTTACAGAATTCTGGGGGAGACATCGACTCGCCAGCTTGGGGCACAGCAGGGGGAGGGGCAGATTGCCGGAGGAGGACATCCTGGTGGTAAAGTGGAGGCTCGGCCGAGAGGATGGAGACCCTCCTGAGGCAGGGCGGTAGATGGCAGGGGCGCAGCCCCCGTCTTTGTTCGGTTGGACCCGAGTCGCCGTGAGTCAGGAGCAACGCAAGGTCACCTCACGACAAAACGTTTCAGGGGACGCCTGTGCATGAGAGACAGACCATCTTCCTTCACCCCCATCATCCATGTCTCGTGTCGAGCCTTACCATTTTTTTAAAAAACGCCACCTTAATCGGATCCAGGTGACACAAGGAGCCTCGGTTTGGTTTAGAGTGATGACTTCCGAGTGGAGTGGGCCCTTCTTCCCGTTTTGCTAGCCAGGTGCATGCCCCGTGGTCCCTGCGTTCGCCACTTTTCTCCCGGAGGCAGACGCCCTGAGGGAGCCACGTCTCCGCGACGGCGTTCCCCTTTCCATGGTGCGAGGGGATGGCGACGCGTGTGTGGAAATGAGGCGGCGTCCTCGCCCCACGAGGGTGTCAGCTGCCCCACGCGGGTTTTCCGCGGGCCTCCTTCCTCTTTGGCTTCCCCTGGGGCGGGCTTGGTTTCCTAGCGACGGTGCGGCCAGGGCGCGAGGCCTTCTCCCGGAGGACGCGGCCTGCCGTGCGCGTGCGCACCCGCCCTCCCCCTCGGACGCCGACTGTTCCACGCACGCCCCGCGGTGTTGACAGGTGGACAGGAGGAAAGGGGGGGGATCCCCCATTTTCTTTTTAATGGAAAATGAGGTTTAAGTTGTGGGGCTTCTTTAACGTCACCCTCCCCCACCAAAACCAGGGTCTTGCCGCACATTCGCTACGTTATTTCACAGTGTTTCCTTCCTTGGCTGCCAGCCGGGACACAGAGAACCACCTATGCTCAAGAGATGACGATGAAGAATGCGGCCGTTAACTCTTCCCATCGCTTTGCCTTACTCCCCCGCAACAGTGAAAGCGAGTCCAGGGTGATGTGGCGCAGTGGGACCCTTGGGGGTGTCCAGCTTGTGACCGTCACAAGCCACCGCAGGTGATGGAAAGCAGACAGCTTTCAGTAGGTCGAGTCGGCTGAGTGCCAGAGGAAAGCACCCCTTCCCACTCCCCACAAGGTCAAAATTGATGTCGAAATGCAGCGGATGAGGAAACACCTGGGTCCGCAGGTTCCCTCTGCGCGGACCCTGTCACCAATGCTGGCCAGGAAGGCGAACGGGCACACTTAGCATCTAGCGCCACCTCATGGTGCAGTAGCACACCCTGGGCCTCTTCGCAGACCTGAGGATTAAAAAGGATGAAAAGAGATTGACTTGTGAACTGTCGCCCCCATTTGGACTTAATAATCACAGGAAAGGCGATTTTCATGGAAAATGCAAAGGAATAAAGAATTGGCAAAAAAAAAAAAAATTGGCACTTGACTGCACTTCGGAGTGAACGAAGCAGCCCAATCTGAATGCGTTAATTGAATCGTGGTGGCAGTCCTGGTGCTATAGCTACTAGCATCTCAATCTTAAAAACTGAGGGTTTAGGGAAGTGTATGGGGCAAGTCTACACTGGAATCCACACATGCGTACTCCAGATCCTGAGGTATAGTAGTACTCGGATTACTGTTGCTGGGCCCCATTGAGCCAGTTTCAACTTAACGAGCCCACGGACAACAGAATGGACCACCCTCGCCATTGTCATATGGAATCCCATTGCTGCAGCCGCTATGTTGATGGGTCTTGTCGAGGGCCTCCCTCTGTTGTGATGACCTGCCACTTTACCATGCATGATGCCCTTTTCCAGGGATGGACCTCTGCTAACATGCCCAAACGATGTGAGACCAAATATCCCCATCTTCACTTTAAGGAGCATTCTGACTGTACCTCATAAGTGAAATGAACTAAAATATTGGGGACAAATCTACTAGAAACACCATTTCAATCTTTAACATTCTTACCCGGCAGGAAGGAGCAGGAGGCTCCTTCCCAGGAGTGAGATGGTCCCCGTGACCCACAGCAACATGCTGCCACAGATTGGACCCTGCTCCTGTGTCGAGCCAGCCCTTCCATGGCTGCTAGAGATTTAGAAAAGCATGTCCTTTGGCTTGTGGGAAATGTGCTCAAATTACTTACTGGATGATACCATCCCCTATTACCCACCATACACACATTCTTTGCTCTCTCCTTCTGGAACTTTTTATATTAAAATGTTGAGCTTCTTGAACTGATGCTATGATTTTATAATCTATTCTTTCCGTTTTTTGAGGGATAGAATTTAAAAACAGGAAAAAAAAAA